CAGCAGGAAGTTGTGATGAAAACCCTACAGAGTGATGATCTGATCATCAAGATGTGACAAACAAGTCCATTTAATCAGAGCTTTCACCTGCATCTCATGGTCTATGTCTAGGTGTTTATCACTGTTGTTGTTGTTGTTGTTTCCAGGACGACCCGCTGTCCTCCCTGCCCCCCCCAGGTCCTACCGCCCGCCTGCCTGCCTTCAGTGAGACTGAAGAACCAGGTGAGTCTTTATTCTCCCTCCTGATTTAACATGTCGAGGACGACTGGTGATTCTTCTTCGTCTAATCTTTGTTCTGTTCTTTCTGCCCCGTTACCTCCGTCTGTCTGTACAGAGAAGAAGAAGAGGAAGACGAGGGGCGATCACTTCAAGCAGCGTTTCAGGAAGAACTTCACCACCCTGCTGGAGGAAGAGGTGGGTCTCACACCTTCACTCTTTTCCTGCTCTCTCATTGGCTGTCAGCTGACTCCTGCTCTGCCCTCTGATTGGTAGAACCTGTCGGAGAAGCCTGAGCCTAACTACCTGTCAGCGGCGGCCCCTCCCTCCTCGCTGCCCCCCCGTCACTTCTGCTGCGTCTGTGGTTTCCCCTCACACTACACTTGCACCACCTGCGGGGGGCGCTACTGCAGCGGCAAGTGCCTGTGCACACACAGAGAGACCAGGTACACACCTGTTTGACTTTCTGTACTTGTGAGGACCACCACTGGCCTGAGCCTAAACCTGGCTCTGACCTGAGCCGTGAACCTTCAGTTGGTCCGTTGAAGCCACAGCGTCTTCGCTTTGCACAAATATTGTCACCTTCTAAAAATGTCCTCATTGTCACCGAGGTCTCCACTTTAATGTCCCCACGCCTCAGAATCGCCCCCAGTCTTAATAGACGTTTAGTTTGTGTCATGGCGACAGCTTCATTACTTCAGTGAGTCTTCTCTTTTTGTCAGTTACAAGTTATTTTTAAATTATTGATGTTAATTAAATATTAAAGTATTTATTTTTTATGTCATGAAATAGTGAAATATCAGTTTCTCAAAGCCAAGTCTTGAGATCTCATCAGTCCAATAGATTTTGTTTTCAGGTAACATGAAACCTTTACCTAAAATACTAATTGATTATGAATAAATAGTTACAGATAAATGTCCCGTCCATCAATGCGTCTTCATCAGCGCTGATTTTGTCCACAAACTCAGTGATGAATAATATTTGTTGACGACCCATTTTCAGAAGGAAAACAAAACTAAAACGAAATAGAAATGAACATTTGGTAACTACAACTGCTACGACAGGTTTTACATTGTTCAACAAATAAAAATGAATCAAGCATCTCACACCCAGCAGCATTCTGTCTTTATCAGCTGACATCAGAGCTTCTCGGAACAAGCGGCTTTATGAACTAAACTCATCTACACTCCAGTGAGAATTAGACAATAAGACACAAAACCAGCTGAGACAAAGGAGGAGGATGCAGCTGACGTTACTGATGGTTCTCAGTCTAGATAAAGACCTTGAGTCTGGGTTGAGCTCAGTGACACAGCTTCTCTCTTTTCATCTGTGTCTCTGCAGGTGTTTGAAGTGGACGCTCTAGCTGCCGCCTTGTCACCGAGGTGACGGGGTGTTGGGATGCATTTGGGACGATGAAGCTGCAGCACAGAGGTTTAGACTCGTGGGTTTTGAACCTGTGACCTCTCGTTTGTCTTCTGCGAGAGCAGATAGGACTCACAGTTACTCAGAGTTTGCCTTGGATGTCGTCTTCTGTTTTCTTTTTTAGAGTTTTGGTAAATAAATGATGTGATATCTCAGCCTGTCACACCTGTTAAAGCATAAGTCTGACATTTGGGTAGATCCTGCTCTGAGTCTGTTCACACTGCTGTGGAAACATCAGGTCTGGGAAGCTTCAGCTGTGGACTCAGCCTGACACAGTCCAGGTGAACAGCAGCACAGTCTGCAGCCTCCACAGTGACCTCACAGGTAAAACCAGCACTGCTGTGAATCAGTCTGAACATCACCACCTTCACGAGACGGGGTCACTGCAGCACTGTTGGATCAGACTGACTCGGCCTGACACGGGTTCCTAATAAACTGACCAGTGGATGTACATACACACATTTTCCTAGTTAGAAGCTTGTCTTGGAATGTTTGTCAGTACTTTCTCCACCTGTGAGAAGCTTCTCACTGTGAGTTTGTCACTTCCCATTGTCCCACAGTGATTTGATTTGTTGTTGATAAGAACGTTTCTGTGAAAGAATAAAGTCTAAATCTGAACGTCAGGCCGTGTGTGTGTGTGTGTGTGTGTGTGTGAGGGGAGTGTCAGCTGACTCGCTCTCTTTTTACTTCCTGGTGTCCATGGCAACCAGGTCATAAAACTCGTCAATAATTAATGTGGACTTCTGATTGTTTCTGTTTTGCGTAGACGACGTTTTCACTTGTTTCTCACAGAGTGTGGTAGAGCGAGGCTGAGCCCTGCAGACTTTGTCCTGCAGGAAGTTGTGGAGGTGGCATGCCACCAGCACCACGACAAGCCAAGGAGCACAGTCGCACCAGTCAGTAAGTACAAACTGGGAGAACTGGGAAAGCCACAGCACTGGTGGGGTGTCCTCTGAGGGTGGGCGGCCAACCTGCTGATCTGAGAACAGCTCAGTACGTTTACAAACCAGGTTGACCTCAGTCTGTCCTCGCTGACCTAACCAGTCAGGAGACTGGTTTTTAACTGGGTTCTTTCCAAACCAGTTGGCTCGAGACAGAGTGAATGTGGACATGTTGTCGGTCGGCAGCACTGCTCCTCCTGCCTCCAGCTGGCTGCGAGGGTGGAGAACCAGCCCCCATCAGAAACCTGGCGTTAACTTACTGAGATGAAACTGAAACGTGTCTGAGGGTTGAACTGATGCGTTCAGGTGTCACACTGTCGTTAGACTTCTCTGACTGCAGCTAACAGAGCTCATCCTCCCCCTGCAGGTGTTCACATCATGAAGTCGTCTTCATCATCATCATCAGTAATGTCTACCTCTGTGACAACTACACAGGAAGCTCAGCTCCTCTTCTCTCCATCGTCTCCTCCTCTTCATCTGTCTTTGCAAAGTCCAGAGCTGCAAGCAGAGTTTCTACGAGGTGAACATCTGTCTCCTGTCCCTCGTCTCATACGGGGTCACCAAACTGGCTGACGACCACAGAGAGAACAGGCGCACACGTGAATACAGAGACACAAAACAACAACACAGCGGTGAAAACTGACCAAAGACTTTCTGGGTACATCCCAAGTATCTACAGCTGGATCCCAGTTCCCTTATTTTACTGGTGCTCCTCCTCTGAGGAGGGAGGGGCCTGCTGGAGGACATAAAGCCGAGGACACAGGAGGGCGTCCATCAGGGGAATGTTATGGATTGATATGTCCCTGATTGGACGCTTCACATGAAGGGTTGAGGTGAGGACGTCTCGTGACAGTTAAAATGTGTTTCCTTGCTTCCTCTCTCCTACCATCATTTCCTAGTACCTTAGGTGGGGGGGACTAAGACACAGTTAGTGGACCTGGGATTCACTTTACATTTCCTTCAATTGTCTTTTTTATGCCTTAGTCCCGCCCACATAAGATGCAAAAAAACAATGTGGTGAGGAGAGAAATGAAGGAAACATGGAGACATGAGATGTCCTCTCCATGGATCCTTCATCTGAAGCATCCAATCACTTCCTTATTTCTGAAAAAGTCATGATGGTCTGAAGAAGATTTGGATGTTCTGGTGTTTCCTCACTCATGTTCCTGCCAGCAGCCTCCTCGCTCCTCTATTCTCCCTCCTCAGAGCTGTGGGACGTGCTCCAGTCTCCTACCGGAGCGACTTCAGGCTCGATTGAGGATCGATAAAGAGAGTTGGGATGTGCCCAGAATGACCACAGGGATCAGGTCTCTCATCCTTGTCTCTTTGTTTCCAGAGTTTCAGAACAAACTTCTGTCTCACAGCGACTTCAGTGACTCCAGTGTCATCTCCTCTGCCACCTCCCAGTCCTCCCCATTCTCCCCCTCCTCTCCTGTCTCCTCCCCCATCAGCCCCACCTTTTCCTCCCCTCCCTCAAGCTCCTCATCATCCTCGTCTTCTCCCTGCTATGACAGCAGACAAGGTGAGTTGGATGCATCCAACACATTGTCTTGTTGATGTGACACATGAAGAGATCCTGGGTCAGTGTGTGTATTCAAACACACTGGTGGTGGGGGGTGATCACGGTACCCTACTGACACCCTACTGTCACCCTACTGACACACTGATGAAGATGATGAGATGATCCACTGCTGTTTACAAACTGAACATGTGGAGATTAAACACTTTCTTTGTGATTGAAACAGTGAGTTATTTTGTTTGTGTGCAGCTTATCTGTCCCTGTCCTCCCCCGAGCTCCTCTCAGAGCTGAAGGAGTCCAAGACGCGGTCCCTCCGACATGTACCCGCCCATAACGGGATGACCACTGTCTTCTCTGGACGAGGAAGACGAGGAGGAGGGCGGCAGGTAAGCAGAGACAGACTCGTGACTAAAGCCCCGGGCAAACAAGATGAACAGTTTCCAGGTGGGAATGAAAATCAGAGTCCGACCTCAGTGAGCTGTGAAACGTGTGGGTCAGGTTCCACTTCCTGAGCATCTCATTGTCTCAGAGGTCCATCCACGACAAACCTCCACAAATCCACTTAGACACCAGAGGAGACGAGGCTGCACTGATCCTTCCATTAAGAGTTTTCAGACACTCTATTAATATATCATGGACATTAATATTTTTCTTTATATTTTTAACACTTTAACATTTTCCAACAGTAGTTTCCATTTTGCCAACAAGCCCAAAGACTACAGCTTTGGGCTCCTGCTGGGTTTATCACTGGTTCAGTTAGACCTGTATGTCGGCGTTGGCATGTTTCCTTTGGACTAGAAAGAACATTTATGAATTCCTCCATTTTCAGCTTTCAGTTTTAACACCACCAGGGGGGAGGGGGGTCAACGTGTCTGGAGTTATGACTGGGCAGCAGGTGAAGAATGACACAGATCCAGTCTGAATGGAGCAAACATGATGATGAAGATGAACATCTTCAGTGTTTTCATTCTCTTCCAGGTCTCTGGCTCCTCCCCCTCCACACAGCTGGCCAATCAGAAGACTTAACATTCAGTTCATGTGCGATGCCTGATCCTGTACCAGCCCACCGGAGCTCAGTCCATCGTGGACCCTGCAGGTCTCTCACTGCTTCTGCCTTAGGAATCGTTTTCTATGTGGTTTCAACACTGACACTGAAACAGAAACATTTGAAACCAGAAATAAAAAGATAAAGCTGATCACTTTGTGTGTGTGTGTTGTGGGAGGAATGTGGTGCAGTGTAAACAGGTACTCTCAGCTTCATGTAGTTAAAGTACCATCAGTGCCTTTTAGGACACTTGTCTTTACTACAAACCTAAAATGATACAACACACTGAAGGTGCACCAATTCTCCATTTCTGTTGGTTGTACTTTCTTCTTGTACAAACGCAGTAGTCCGTACTACCATTCAGGTGTGAGGCTGCAAACGATCCATCCTCTTCTCTAGACAAATAATACTGGTCTGTGTGTAGCGGCTGAAACGAGTCAGGGGCCGTCTACCAAGCGCTGAAATGAACAGAGAGAGGCCTACTAAACAAGTATTAAATAATTTTAGTGTTGATACCAAACCCACGTCCTTGTTAAGTACAGTACATGATAAATGTACTTTCCACCTCTGCTTTGCGCCTCTCGGGGCCGCAGCATCAATGTGTTGTTTCCCTCCTCACCGAAGGGGGCGCGAGTCTTTCCTTACAAACTAAAACCCTAACGGAAGCAAAAAAGAAAAACCGGAAGTCTCTTTGCCTCATTGTCATCCTGGACTGGCGGCGGGATAACATTGATGTAAGGTTAAGTGAGGAGCTTATTTCCTATTCTTTAACAGTGGGGTTTCAGGTAAAGTCAAACCTTTAACTCAGCAGTACTGCTTGTTTTACAAGACTGCTAAAACCAAAACCAGCCGAAGCGATTATAAACCCGAACTCGGCTAGCTGTGTTGCTAACTAGCAGTTAGCCGCTGTTAGCTTTGACTAACTAGTACTGTGCCAACTGCTAACGGTAGATTTAAAACGTTCATTTTGTTTCAGATTTTTCTCACCGATACTTTGTGAACTAGTTTATTTTGTAGGAAAATAAAAATCAACAGCGGCTATAGTGGTCTAATGATAACGAAGCCGAACAGAAGCTAACATGCTATTTACCAGTTACCTCCGACACTGAGCTCACGCGACTCACAAAAACACAACAATGATTAAAATTTAGAATACGTGGCCGTGTCTCACACGTTAGACCCGGGTGTCTTCCACTGAGTTTAAGGCTTTTTAAGGTGTAGGAACTTGGTGAAACATGTCCCGGTGTCTGTGGAAATTACATCCTGAAGTGAAGCGTTTTCTCTCACTTCGTTGTTTTTAGCATGTTGACGTCAGTGGTGGAAGAAGTAGATCCTTTGGTTAAGTAAATGTAGCAGTGTAAAATACTCTGTTACAAGTAAATGTAGCAGTGTAAAATACTCTGTTACAAGTAAATGTAGCAGTGTAAAATACTCTGTTACAAGTAAAGGTCCTGCGTTCCTAGTGTTAAGTAAAAGTACAAAGCCTTAGTATCAATACTTAAAGTAATAAAGGTATTTACACATTTCCCATTCCTGTATATCATATTATTGATAATATTAATGTTTATTACTGATGCATTGTTTAATGTTGCAGCTGGTAAAGGAGGGGGCTCGTTTTAACTGGTTTATATGCTTTTTTAATTTGAGGTACCATAGATCAATAAGATCTTACAGTTATACTCTATTTCTTGTATTGGTCTGGTTATGAAAAGTACAGTTATAAAATAAATGTAGAGTGAAAAGTTCAACATTTGCCTCTAAAATCTAGTGAGATCAACGTATGAAGTAAGAGAAAATGAAAACACTCAAGAAAAGTACAGAAACCTCAAAATTGTAAGTACAGTACTTGAGTAAATGTACTTAGTTACTTTGCTTTGGTTGCTGTATCTGTGTGTTTATGTTGAATATGAGGTGGAGAATATAACGAAGATACCGGTTTAGACAAAAGCAGAGAGGCCAGTCTGTTGATCAGCTTCATCCTGCTACATTTCAGTCCCATTTAAAGGTGTGGTCAGAGTACTGCAAGTAAACGAATTAAAGGTGAATCAGTGGCTGTATGACGATTAGTTTCTAGTTAAATGTATGAAATAAAGAAGGAAAGATAATGAAGTGTCTGTGCCCTTGTGCCAGACTTGAGCCTGTGATATTAAACGTTTCCTGTGATTTCGATGTTGCTGTTTGTTTTCAGACCAATGGGGGACAGCGACGATGAGTTCGACAGGAGGAGGCGCGACAAGTTCAGGAGAGAGAGGAGTGACATGGAGCGGTCGAGAGAGAGGGAGGAGAGGAGGAGGGAAGAGTGGCCTGACAGGTGTGCACGTGCTTGTTTTGGCACCTGAGTTGGAGTTGGTCCGAGGCTTTAGACCAGTTGTTTTATTATCAGCTGAAGACCGAGGTTTGGTGCTGGTCAAGCGCTGTGAAAGTGTTTTATTCAAATCTTTTACAGGCTGCAGTGTTTATTTTTTCTCATTAGTGCATTCTTCACACTTTTATTTTGACTATTTTCTGTCACATATTTTTTAGTCAGATTATTTAAAGATATTTTTTAATGCAATTAATTTTAATGATGTAGCTCAAATGAGGCCATTTTAAACCTTTGTACATTTGTCCTTCTGGACACTGTCTCCCTTTGGCCCTTTTATAATTTTGTTGCAAGATAAAACTTTGGTCAAAGCCCAGTAAAACAGAAGGATGGGTCATGGACGTCAAATCAACAGACACTGGGTATTAACAAAGGATGTGTGTACACTAATGACAAGTATATCAGTGTGTGTATCACCAACTCCATTCACTCTGGTGATGAGTAGGTATATACTGTATGTCACATGTACAAGTCTATATAAAAAGGAAAAGGGAGGAAATTAGAGAAAGATAAACAATAAATGCAGAGACTCGGCCCAGTTACACTCGTCCTCCCAGTTCTTGTTTATTCACTTTCTCGTTGTTTTCAGTGATAAACACAGGTGAACACACCTGACACCTCATTCTGACACGTCTGTGCATATGTGAGACACGTTTTACAGTGTTGTTTGTTTGTGTCCAGGGACTGGGAGCGTGGCAGGGAGAGGCGGAGGGATTACGATCGTGGCCGCAGAGAGAGATTTTCTCCACCCAGGCACATCAGCCCTCAGCACAAGCGCATGAGGAGAGACTGGTGAGACTGACACAGCTGCACTCGTGTTTTATCCATGAACATATAAGCTTTCGCTCTGTTACTGATGTTGGAACTTTCCAGGGATGAGCACCAGGGTGAGCCGTACCGCTACGAGCTGCCATATGGAGGAGGTGGGGGCCCGTTTCCAGGGGTGGGACCTCAGGGCTGGCATCCTGACCTCCCCCACCTCCACCCACACCCTGGAGGTCACTTGCTGCAGGGCAGGTGAGCTCATCATCATGTGTTTCAGAGATGTACCTTAAAAACCAGGATGTGGCTTCAGGTGGGGTTTAGTTGGCAGGAGGAGCAGCCAGGTCACAGTAAACAGATCATCGTGGCTGGAATTATTACTGGGGAGGGGGCGGAAAACTACCCTTTCCTGCTCCAGGTGGGAGTAAATCACTGGCTTCACTAAAACCCAGTCTGAGTATGTAACAGAGGTTCATATGAACGGATATAAATGTTCCAGTAATGATTATATGATCAAAACGTCTTAAAGCTTTGTCACATGGACTTCTTCTGTGGTTAAAAGTACATTTTCAATGTAAACTGTGTCTCAGGTTGGGGATGGTGGATCCAGACCTGCCGCCTCCTGGTCCTCCCATCATGAGGAGCTTTAAGGTGAGCGAGCAAACCAAAACGTAATGCAGCAACAAAGTGAGAGCCAGATGCTGCTGTCGAAGCTGTGCACAGTAAAGGTTGTTGTGATGTGTTTTTGTGTGTCAGTTATTTCTCAGTTCAAGTGATGTGTCTCTGTGCAGGAGTTTCTGTTGAGCATGGAGGACAGTGTTGATGAGACCGAGGCGGTGAAGCGCTACAATCAGTACAAGCTGGACTTCAGGCGACAGCAGCTGCAGGACTTTTTCCTCCAACATAAAGAGCAGGAGTGGTTTCGCTCAAAGTACCACCCTGATGACATCACAGCGAGGAAGGCAGAATCGCTGGCCGCCCTCAAAACCCGGCTGAGCGTCTTCCTGTTCCTGTTGGACAATAACTGGCTGGATAATGTGTCGCTGGATATGGACCACGGCCCCGCCATCATCAAGCTGCTTGATGCAGGTACGGACAGAGGCCTGGGTGGGAGCTGAGCAGTGAGACAGTCAACGGTCTCACCGTCTCAGGCTCTTTGTGGTGGTTTTCAGTCTCTCGCTGCTATTTGAACTGTTGTATCAGAGTATTAAGCCTTGTGGCCCCGGGTCCTGGAGCCCTGTGGAGTGACTCAGACACGGGCCTGCTCACGTTTATTCATGATGTTACCAAGTGTTGTTGTTGTTGTTGTTGTCGTCAACCTGGGAGTAAACAAACATGATGCCAGTAGGTTATTGGTTGTTTTCCATTGTTCTTCGACCAGTTTGACTTCGAAGTTACTGAATGACATCGTCTCCCTGGTGAAGAAGGCTCATGTACTTGTAGGGGTTATTGGTTGTTTTCCATTGTTCTTGGACCAGTTTGACTTTGAAGTTACTGACTGACATCGTCTCCCTGGTGAAGAAGGCTGAAATGTTTTAACTTGGTGAACACTTCAGAAACCGTTTACTGGTGTCACTTAGCAGGGCATTCTGGGTAATGAGCTCCTCAAACTGTCTCCGTCTCTGCAGCGGTAATAAAGATGGAGGGAGGTACAGACTTTGACCTGCAGGTCCTGGAGGCACCAACCGCCCCTGCAGTGAGTGGCGGCGAGCTGATCAGTGGGGGCGGCCCTGAGAAGAGTCAGGGAGATCCCAGCAAAGCAAATGTGAGCGGCCACAGCGGCTCAGACTCGAACCGGAGTCGGACAGAAGAGGCGACCAGTGGAGGGATGGGCCAGACTAAAGACTCTGATAAGGTCAGAAACCTGGTCTCAGTAATATTCTGACACCTTCAGACAGCGTAGCGAGCTAGTTCCCCCGGCACCAAGGACGGCGTAGCAAGGTCACTGTGTGTGATGATGTCAGCTGTAGCTACTAATGTCCACTGTGTAACAGCTACAGTGAAGCTTGAATCTGTTGGGTGATGTGCGCTGTCCAAGCCCTAACTGACTGAGTGACGACACATCGCTGTGTAACATCTATCACCTCCAATGAGGAGGAGTCAGCCGCCAACAGGAAGTCCCTTTATCCTGCAGCAGTAGCGTTTCCTGCCTCCTCTTTGTAAAATCACGCACGTCAGCTCTGAACCAAGTACAGAGGTTTGAGAAGGCACCCAAAGATTTTCTGATACAGTTTTTATCCAGCAGCTCTGTGCACGGTGGCCTGTAAAGCATCACGCTCATTTCTCTTAAAAAAGCCTTAGATGGTCTTAAAAAGTAATAAAGCCAGTTTGCAGCTTAGAGATGGTTTAAACATTTACTGTCGTTTGAGGAAACTGAGCAGCACAGCAAACAGATAAGAATAGTTTGATATTTCATGAAAATATTCCGTAAACCTCCCGTGAAACCTGGATGTCATGTTTTGTTTTCCGTCTCAGGGCGGTGATGACGAGGCCAAGCACAATGGAGAGAAGGACGACAAGGACGACGTGGAGAGGAAAGATGAAGAGGACGAGGAGGAACAGGAGAAGACTAAGAAAGTGAGTTGGTTGTTGTCAGTGCTGACATGGACATAGTTCATGTTGCTAGTGTTAATCTCGCCTCCTCCTCTCAGGGCAGGAAGAGGAAACGCAGTGTGTCTGCTGACAGCGGGGAGGGCAGCGCCTCCGACTCAGACTCCTCCCACTCCGATGGAGAGAAGGAAGATGATGAGGAGAAGGAAGAAGAGGAGGAGGATGGAGAGGATGGTATTTACAGCTTCAGATACAAACATGTCCATGTCAACAGCAGCCCCTTCAGTTCAGTTATACAGTCAGGTGACCAGCTAAAGGCCAATCAGCACAGCACTGCCCTGTCATTAACCCCGCCCCCTCCCATCTGTGTGTCAGAGCGCCGTAAAGAGCGAGGGAAGGAGAGAGAGAAGGAGGCTCCGGCAAAGCCCCGTCCACTCCACCTCACCACCTCCCTGTTCATCAGGAGCATCCCACCAGAGGTGTCCAAGGAGGAGATCACTGCTGTGAGAGTGTGCACGCACACACACGCGCACACACACACACACACACACACAGAGCCTGGCAACTGTACTAACCTCATTAATGTGTGTGTAGCTGTGTCGCAGGTACCCGGGCTTCCTGCGAGTGGCGCTGTCGGACCCTCAGCCCGAGAGGAGGTGAGATCTGACTAGAGCAGATTAAAGTGATGAGTGAGCTTTAGAGCAGCAGGAAGGTGGATGGAAGGCTAGCAGTTCCCACCTGGTTCCAGTCTTTATGCTAAGCTAAGCTAACCAGCCTTCATACCTGTGTGTCAGGTTCTTCAGGCGCTGCTGGGTGACCTTTGACCGCAGTGTGAACATCAAGGAGACGTGCTGGAATCTTCAGAACATCCGGGTAAATACCAGACACTAAACACAAATCACTGGCTGATGGATGGACGCGCTGATGATCCTACTGTCTGCTCCTTTGTCAGCTCAGAGACTGTGAACTGTCTCCGGTGGTCAACAGAGATCTGTGTCGACGGGTTCGCAGCGTCAACGGTCTGACACACCACAAACCGGTGGTGAGGAACGACATCCGCCTGTCTGCGCGCCTCGTGCACAGTCTGGACCAGAGGGGGGAGCTGTGGGCTGGACAGGTATGGGGCGCTGTCTGTGACGGACACAGGTCATGGAGGCCATTCAGACCCACAGACAGTGCAACACGTCCTGATCATATTATTTGTTTTATTATGTTCAGCTTGAACAAACCTCCTTAGATCCACTTAGAAACCAGAGGAACAGAACCTGCCTGAGATCCCTCCTGTTTCTGAGCTCGTCACGGTGATGCAGTGACCGTTGTGTGTCCGTCCACGGGGACACTGCACACAGCAGCTGCTGGTAGCGGGGACACAGTGTAAACAAATATGGCTGCATGTGTCTGTGCAGATGGAGACCAACCCCGTTCTGAGGAACATCACAGACTACCTGATAGAGGAGGTGAGTGCTGAGGAAGAGGAGCTGATGGGTGCCTCTGGGGGCAACATTGAAGATGCAGGTGCCAGAGACCACGCCTCCTCATCTGAGGTTACCGTGGAGACAGACGACAAACTGCTAAAGGTGGGAGGAGCTTAGCCATCTGATTCTGTCTCACTGTTTTTAAAGGTTTGACGTGGATGGTTATAGTTTCTGTGTTAGTGAATTATTTGTGCGTGTGCACGTGCAGGTGCTGGACAGACTCCTGCTCTACCTGCGTCTGGTTCACTCTGTAGATTATTACAACTTCTGTGAGTATCCTGCTGAGGACGAGATGCCTCATCGCTGTGGGCTGATCCACGTACGAGGACCCCTACCTGTGGCCAAGATCACTGCAGCCGAGGGTATGCGCACACACACACACACACACACACACACACCTAACCAAGTCCAACAGGCCGCTGTGCTACATTTCAAACTACATGTCCAACACAGTGAAGTGTGTAGAAAGTGAAGTACCGCCTGCTTGGTGCTGACGTTGGCGTCTGGCTGTGTTTGTTGGGCAGTGAGCGAACACCAGAGGATGTGTGAGCAGCGTCTGGCTCCTCTGCTCTCGCCCTCAGAGACACTGAGCGAAGAAGAAGCTGTTAAACTGGGAAAGAAAGACCCAGAACAAGAGGTACGACACAGTATCTTTGTTTTCTGTCTTTAGCACTGGAGTGTGTAACGCCTCTGTGTGTGTGTCCAGGTGGAGAAGTTCCTGTCAGCCAACACTCAGGAGCTCAGTAAAGACAAATGGCTCTGTCCTCTGAGCGGGAAGAAGTTCAAGGTGAGGTCACCTCCTGTGTGTGTGTCCCTGTGTCCGACCTGACTCGCTGGTGACGCCTGCTCCTCTTCTTATTGTTCAGGCTCCAGAGTTTGTGCGTAAACACATCCTGAACAAACACGCAGAGAAGGTCGCCGCCGTCAGGCAGGAGGTCGAGTTCTTCAACAACTTCCTGCTGGATGCCAAAAGGCCG